GGGTTCAGCTTACTTCTTGTTCTTCTTTGCCCCTCTCAGACTATTCTTTCTCGACCACTCAGTAATCTTAAAGTCTACCCTTGATCATCACACCTTTGTTCACTGGCCTCTAGGTGCCCTTCCTTCCCTCTTAGTCTGTACTTGTCTTTCCCTGGTTCCTTCCTGTCCCATTGTAATCTTATTTACCTAAGGCCTGATTCACATGCCACTTCCTCCAAGAAGCCATCTCTGGTCAGTCTCATCTAATGAGACTTGTTCTTCCTCTTGATCCCCAAAGTTCTTCTGTGGCATTGATTTTTATTGGTTACTATGTTTCATATCTCTCTGACTAGTTATAATGTTCCTGCAGGTTTGCCCACCTAAGCAATCCCTGCCTAGACAATCCTACCCCTAATTTCAGTCCCATGACTAGCTCCCTGTTTTGAGGCATCTTATAGACCCTTTGTCGCAGAGGTAGGTGGTTTGAGCCCACTGGAAGAAAGATGAAATTTTCTGCTCCCACAAAGATTTATAGCCTTAACAATTCAACCCAGGGTTGCTATGAATTGGAACCGGCTTGGTGGCACTTAACTATAACAACTGATCATTATGTTTTCTACAGATGTGTTCCTGGCTGTTTTTGGTAGATATGCCCATTCCAAAGAGAGATGACTCAACGAAATGGGGAAATCATGGGACAATCTCTTTGATATCCCATGTGAGTAAAATTTTACTAACGGTGATACAGAAATGGCTGCAAGCATACATTGACAGAGAACTTCCAGAGGTTCAAGCCAGATTCAGAAGAGGATGTGGAACGAGGGCTATCATTGCTAATGTCTGATGGATCTTGGCTGAAAGCAAAGAATATCACAGAGATGTTTACCTGTGGTTTACTGACTACACAAAGGCTTTTGATTGTGTGGATCATGACAAGCTGTGGACAACCTTGCGAAGTATGAGTATGCCGGAACACTTAATTGTACTCATGAGGAATCTGTACCTGGACCAAGAGGCTGTTGTTCAAACAGAACATGGGAACACTGAATGGTTTAAAATTAAAAAGGGTGTGTGACAAGGTTATATTCTTTCACCATACTTATTCAACCTGTATGCTGAGCAAATAATCCGAGAAGCTGGGTTATATGAAGAATAATGTGGCATCAGGATTGGAGGAAGACTCATTAACAACCTGTGATACGCAGACGATGCAACCTTGCTTGCTGAAAGTGAAGAGGACTTAAAACATTTACTAATGAAGATCAAAGAGCACAGCCTTCGGTATGGATTACATCCCAATGTAAAGAAAACAAAAATCCTCACCACTGGACCACTAAATAACATTCTTATCCACGGAGAAAAGATTGAAGTTTTAAGGACTTCATTCTTCTTGGATCAACTATCAACACTCACAGAAGCAGCAGTCAAGAAATCAAATGACATATTGCTTTAGGTAAATCTGCTGCACAAGACCTTTTTAAAGTGTTGAAGTGCAAGGATGTCAGCTTGAGGACTCAGGTGTGCCTGACACAAGCCATGGTATTTTCAATAACCTCATATGCATGTGAAAGCTCGACAGCGAATAAGGAAGATTGGAGAAGAATTGATGCTTTTGAGTTATGGTGTTGGAGGAGAATATTGAAAGTGCCACGGGCTGCCAAAAGAACCAATAGATCCGTTTTAGAAGAAGTGCAGCCAGAGTGCTCCTTGGAGGCCAAGATGGCCAAACTTTGTCTCCCATACTTCGGACATATTGTCAGGAGGGACCAGTAGCTGAAGAAGGACATCATGTTTGGTAAGGTGGAGGGACAGAGAAACAGAGGTAGACCCCCAATGAGATGGATTGGCCAAGTGGCAGCATCCATGGACTCAAGCATGGCAACAGTAGTGAGGTTGGCTCAGGATCGGGCAGTGTTTCTTTCTGCTGTGCATAAGGTTGCTATGAGTCAATACCAACTCAATGGCACATAACAACAACAACAACAACAACAATAATAGCTATATTCAAGAAACCCTGATGGTGCACTGGTTAAGCACTGACTGATAACTGGAAAGCTAGCAGTTCAAATAGCCACTCTATAGAAATGTGATCTTTTGGTTTGATTGGCTATGTTCAATAACAGAGAATGAATGAAAATGCCATTAAGGTCTGAGTTATAATCTGAGATCTCTACAGAACTCTCCATTGCCTTCTTCCTAGTTCTTTGTTGTTAGGTGCAATTGAGTGGGCTCTGAGTCATAGTGAACTTATGCATAATAGAACGAAACACTGCCCAGTTCTGACATTCTGAGTCATCCTCACAACTGTTATGCTTAAGCCCACTGCTGTTGCAAATGTGTCAATCCATTTCCTGGTGGTAGTGGTCGGGGAGTCTTCCTCTTTTTTGTTGACCTCCACTTTACCCAGCATGATGTCCATCTCCAGGGACTGGTCCCTCCTGATAACATGTCTGAAGTATGGGAGATAAAGTCTTTTCATCCTGGCTTCTAAGAAATGTTCTGGCTGTACTTTTCCAATACAGATTTGTTTGTTCTTCTGACCGTCCTTGATACTTTCCCAGTGCCATAACTCAAACATATCAATTCTTCATTGTTCAACTCTCACATATGTATGAAGCTATTAAAAATACCATGACTTGGGTCAGGCACACCTTAGCCATCAATTTGATATCTTTGCTCTTGAACACTTTAAAGAGCTCTTCTGCAGCAGATTTGCCTAATGCAATATGTCATTTGATTTCTTGACTGCTGCTTGTTTATTATGAGTATTGATTATTGATCTGAGAAAAATAAAGTCTTTGACTTCAAGTTTTCCTCCATTTATTATGATGTCACTTATTGGTTCAGTTATGAGGGGGGTTGCTTTCTTTATTGTTGTTAAGTGCCATTGAGTCGGTTCCGACCCATAGCGACCCTGTACAGGGTTTCCGAGGGTGTAAATCTTTTCTTTATACTGAAGTGCAATTCATACCGAAGGCTGCAGTCTTTGATCTTCCTCAGTAAGTACTTTAAGCCCTTTTGCTTCCAGCAAGCAAGGCTGTATCATCTGCATATTGCAGGTTCTTTAGCATGGGATATTCATGTGGAATTTTAGAACCATCTAGCGCAGTTCTGCAAGGTTGGTTTGAACTGGGAGGGCAGCAGTTCAAGCTCACTAGCTGCTCCTTGGAAAACCTATACAGGGTTGCTATGAGTCGGAAGCGACCCCACAGCACTTAACAATAACAACAAGCACTGAAAGTAGAGAGCAGAGAGCAGAAGTTAGGCAATTTTTGTGAGAATTCAACCTTGCAGAGTTTCCCTGATAGTGTTACAGAAGCAATAGACCCTGTAGTTGTTGCCGACTAATTAAATGTCTCAGGTTTTTGGTCTTTGCTTCTTCTTCCTTTTCCAGTGCTTCCATGTAGCATAGTGGGTTATATGTGCTGAATCCACAAGTCACTCCAAGGTAGAAAGATATGGTAAGATTCTCAGTCTTATAAATCCTACAAAGGGCACAGAGCAGCAGCGGAAGCACTGAAGAGCCATGGCAAGTTTGTACCAGGAAAGCCTCCAAGTACAATCAGGAAATTCCTTTTAAACACTGAACTTTGGATCAAGCTTTTTTCAGATGATTAACAGTGGCTCTAGTTGGGCTTCATTTTCTCTGCCTAAGTCCTCCCCATTTCTTCCTACAAATTCTATTTAACTTTTAGCTGTTTCTCTGCCCTCTCCCTAATGCTCTCTCACAAGATCATGTTCTTCTCCTTCAAAGCAACTAAACATTTCAATTTACTTTTGTGATGATCTAAGTCATCTTTCATTAATTTGTTTACATTCCACGGCACCTAACAATATTCCTTGCTCACCAAAATACTGTGAATGAACTGATGCTTCCTTCATGCATTAAAAAAAAAATATATATATATTAGTAATATTTTCCATTTTACACTGCCGTTACTTCTAACAGCAACCTTTTTATAAACGTTATCACATGCCTTTATAAGCTTTACATGTAGTTTTAACACTCAACATCTGGCCCTAATTAAAGCGAAAATATTTTATGGCGTACGTTTTGCCCTGCGGTTGTTGTTAAATGTTGTTGAGTCGATTCCGACCCATAGCAACCCTGTATAGGGTTTTTTGAGGAGCAGCTGGTGAGCTTGAACCACTGACCTTGCAGTTCAAACGGTTCTTAATCTGGCGCATTAAACCACAGCACCACACAAAAATGTATCTCACAATTTTCAGGTAACCGTGCACTCAAGAGTGCTGTGGGGCGCTGTGGGCTAATGAACCGGAATGCAAAGTCGTTTGAACCACAAGGTCGGTGGTTTAAGCTCACCAGCGTCTCCTTAGAAACCGGAACCGACTGGATGGCACTTAATAACAGCAATGCACTCACTAGCCTCCAAGAATTTGGACTTATTTTTTTACGCCGCCGCACGAAGTGTGCTGTTTGTCACTTTAATAAACAGGGTCATCCTCTCTGACATAATTTCTAACATCTCAGCCCAGCACTGTCATTCATAATGATTATTATGGTCCCACCGGTTCAAACTCACCAGCTGCTCCTCGGAAACCCTATACAGGGTCGCTAAGGGGCGGAATCGACTCGCTGGCACTTAACAACAACAACATCAGATATAAAACAAGATGAAAGCGGCAAGCGTGGGGTCTGGGTCAGGCAAGCCCGAAACCCCTCGCTTCCGGGCCCCGGAGACCTCGATGGTGGCTCGGGACTTGGCTCAGATCCCTTCTCAGCCCTGTGTCTCAGCTCGAGCCCAGGTCTGGTCGTATTTACTAGGAAAGCTAAGAAGACACGGAATAGGCCTTATCCGCTGAGCTCGAAAGGGGCGGGTCCGGCGCCTCGGATTGGTCCTTTGGTGTCACGTCATTCTGCTCGCTGAGCTTTTGCGCCGCCGGGAAGGCCTGGCCTGCCGGAAGGTGGGGTGGGGCTAGGTCACAGGCGGCGTAGGGTCGGGTTTAATGCTGTTCAGTCTCTGTTGGTGCTTGAGGAGTGAGGTCTCTACTATCGTACTATGAGGGAGGCAGACGGGCTACGGCAGCGTCGGCCTCTGCGGCCTCAGGTTGTCACGGACGATGGCCAAGCTTCGGAGGCTAAGGACGGCAGGTAAACCAGACCCCTAGGCTAGCTCTGGAGCGGGGCAGCCACATGCGTGGTGGCCCTCGATAACCAGAACGACGGCAATAACAGTAATAACAGCGTAAATGTAGCGCTATTTCATTTCACCGCCAACAGTACAACCCGTTTTACAGAGAAGGAAACCGGCAACGAGGCAGATCCACCTGTCAGATTTGCAGGTTTTGAGTTCGACCTGTTTTCTTGTGGTCCCGCCTCGCACTGCACCTGCCCCTTCTTGCCCTTCCTTCCCTGGCTGCACTCCTGCAGAGCGATTGCATCTTTGCTCTCACCTATCCCCACTGCCCTTTCATGCAGTCCTTCCTGTTACCTCACATAAGCCCCCCACAAACTCTTAGGAGAGACCCACCTAGCCCTACGTCTAACTTACCCCTGCACTTTTCTGAAGAGAGGCCTGAAACTTCTTAATTCAGTCAAGATCTGGTTTCTGTCCTTCACCTGCCCCTTCCTGTGCATGGCAGCCCTCACCACAGACCACAGGAAAGAGCAGAGAGCAAAAGTTACATTGTTAGGCAATTTTTGTGAGAATTCAACCTTGCAGAGTTTTCCTAATAGGGCCAGAGATACAATAGGAAACTGGTTGTTGATGTCTAATTAAATATCTTTGTTTCCTCTCCCAGTCTTCCGGAATTTATCGGTATGATAATTAGGGACCAGTGGAGTTCTGGTGTGGTGCTGTGGGTTAATGCACCAGACTGCAAAGCCATTTGAACTGCAAGGTTAGTGGTTCAAGCTCACCAGCTGCTCCTCATAAACCTTATACAGGGTGGCTATGGGTCAGAATTGACTCCACAGCACTTAACAACAACAACAACATAATTAGGGACCAATCCCTGGAGAAAGACATCTTGCTTGGTAAAATGGAGGGTCAGTGAAAAAACAGGAAGACCCCCAACGAGATGGATTGACACCATGGCAGAAGCAGTGGGATCAAGCGTAATAACATTTATGAGGATGGCACAGGACCAGGCTGGCTAGTGTTTCGTTCTGTTGTGCATAGGGCCTCTTTGATGTGATATTGACTTCATGGCACCTACAACAGCAGCAACAACATGTGTCCTTAGCTAAAAATAGATGCATAACCTTTAAGCATTTTTTTCAACTTGTTAGGTGCCGTGGAGTCAGTTTGGATTCAGAATGACCCTGTATAGGGTTTCCAAGGAGGACCTGGGGGATTTGAACCCCCAGTCCTTTGATAAGCAGTCCAGTGTTTACCCTTCAGCACTAACTGAAGGTATATAAGATTCTTTTTCAATGTTGTGCCCCAAGTTTCATAACTTTGAGTTGTTAGGGAGAACTAAGAAACCCCAGAACCAAGCCCTTTGGAAGTGATTGGCTTATATTTTGATAAAAATGTTGGACATATTTATTGATCGTCTACAGTGTGCCAAAGATTATGGTAAATACGAAAGGAAGGGAAGTGTTTTCTTTTGGCAGACTGAATCCCTTCACTCAGGACAGTTAGAGGAATACATCTGAAGGAGAGCTCTGGCAGAGAGGAGGCCAACCAGGGGTGGCATCACTTATTGGCCCTGGAAAGACAGAGCTACACTTTCCCAAGTAGTGTAGAGTCCAGGGGACCATGGGACTAAGAGGTCAAGAGCTAAAGGAGCTTAGTCACACTTTCCCAACCATGCCCTAAGGCTGAGGACTGAGAGCCAGTGAGGAGGTTGGCAAGAGTGCGGCTTTATATCCTGACTGTAGAATGACAAGCCATCCCAGCTTGTCCTGGACTGAGGAATTCAACCTTGACAAATGGGGGCAAGTTGGTCACCCCATAGACTATGGCTAATGTGACTTTATTGTCTGCTGATGACTGATGAACATTTTAGAATGGACATGTAAAGACTTAACTACAGACTTGAAAACAAGGCACTGCTCCAGACACATTTACATGAGAAGTAAGTGAACTAACAGGAACTAACAGGTTGGCCTGAGTTTCTCTTGAGTTGTATGTGTGGAAAACCAGATTATACTGTGTCTCTGAGGGTACTTGTTAGATGGGCTCAGTCTGGAAGGGCAGAGTTCCATTTTGTTGCTGTTGTTTGAATTCTCTGTGAGGATGTTTTCCTTATTGGCAGTGTTGGTTAAGATATCTTCTTGACTTTTATGTCCATGAACTTGTTCTTATTTTCCCCTACCTTAGTCTCTTAAGTGTTTGATCCCTTTTCTGTAAATCTGCAGTGATCTTTTCAAAGTGAGTTCTTGTCACTCACCACTTCTATATTATGCAAGGAGGGTTCAAAAAGTTTGTGGGAAAATGGAAGTAAAAGACAATGAAATTTTCCATGAACTTTTTAAGTCCTCTCATAGATGTTTTCAAGTTTTCTTATCCTGTAGTTTTATTTTGTAGTAATTTCTAAAAGTTCTTCTGATTGTCTTCTTTATTACTTCCAGAGTTGAGAGTTCAGCATGACAAAAAAAAAAAAAAAAAAAAGCCTTTTATTAGGTGAAGTAAAGGTGTCTGAAAGAAGTGGAAACCTGCTACCTATAGAATGAATCTTAGATGTGCTGAACAAAATAACCAACACTTTTCTGTCAGTTTGTTGTACTGTGCTGGCTTGTGTGTTACTTTGATGCCGGAAGCTCTGCCACAGGTAATTTGAATACCAGAGGGTTACCCATGGTGGACAGATTTCAGTGGAACTTCCTGAATAAGGCAGAGAGGAAGGAGAGGCAGATAACTACTGACTGATATGAATAGCAGCGGAACATTGTCAGGTATAGTGCCAGAAGAGGAAAATAGTATGACTTTCAGCAGAGCATTGTCAGATACAGTGCTGGAAGATGAGCCCCTTAGGTTGGAAGGCACTTAAAATACAACTGGGGAAGAGCTACCTCCCCAAAGTAGAGTTGACCATAATAACATGAAAGGAACAAAGCTTTGTTTGGGACCTTCATTTGCTGATGGGGCACAACTCAAACTGAGAAATAGCTGCAAGCATCCATTAGTGATCAGAACATAAAGTGTATGAAGTATGAATATAGGAAAATTGGAAGTTGTCAAAAATGAAACAGAATGCAAAAAGGCCAAATCCTAGGCATTAGTGTACTGAAATGGACTGGCATTAGACATTTTGGATCAGTCAATCATATGGTTTACTATGCTGGGAACAGAAAATGCAAGAGGACTCGTGTCATATTCATCGTCAAAAAGAACATTTCAAGATCTATCTTGATTACAATACTGTATGTGATAGGATAATATCCATATACCTAAAAGGAAGACCAGTTAATAGTCATTATTTAAATATATGTATCAACCACTGAAACCAGTAATGATAAAATTGAAGAATTCTACCAACTTCTTCAGTCTGAAATTGATCAAACAATCAAGATGTGTTGATAATCACATGCTAAGTTTGGAATAACGTAGAAGGCTCACTAATTGGAAGATATGACCTTGGTGATAGAAGTGATGCTGGAAATAGCATGTTATAATTTTGCAATTTGAATGACTTATTCATTGAAAATACCTTTTAAAAACAACATAAAAGGTGATCATACTCATGGACCTCACCAGACGGAAAAGCAGAAATTAAACAGACTACACATCTGTTGAAAGAGAGAGTTCAATATCATCAGACAAAACAAGACCAGTGGCCAAATATGGAGCAGACCATGAACTGTTCATATGCAAGTTCAGATTGAAGCTGAAGAAAATTAAAATAAGTCCACGAGAGCCAAAATATAACCTTGAACTTATTTCACTTGAATTTAAAGACCATCTCAAGAACAGATTTGATGAATTAGACACTGACCTAACACAAGAAGAGTTGTTGGAAGACATCAAGAATATTATACAGGAAGAAGGCAAACGGCCATTAAAAATACAAGAAAGAAAGAAAAAAACAAAATGGTTGTCAGAAGGGACTCTTGAAACTTGCTCTCCAGTGTAGAGCTGCTAAAGTGATGGGAAGAAATGAGGAAGTAAAAGAGCTGAACAGAAAATTTCAAAGGGCAGATAGAGAAAACAAAGTCAAGTATTAAATGAACTCTGTAAAAACCTGGAGTTAGAAAACCAGACAGGAAGAACACGCTCATCATTTCTCAAGCTGAAAGAATTGAAGAGAAATTCAAGTCTTGACTTTCATATTGAAGGAGTCTATGGGCAAAATATTGAATGGTGCAGAAAGTATCAAAAGAAGATAGAAGTAATACACCGAGTTGCTGTACCAAATAGAAATGGTTAATGTTCAACCATTTCAAGAGATGGCGTATGATTAAGAACCAACGATACTGAAGGAAGGGCAAAGGTACACTGAAGGTATTGGCAAAGAACAAGGCTCCTGGAATTGGTAGAATACAAATTGAAATCTTTCAACAAACAGATGTGGCACTGGAGGCACTCACTCGTCTATTCCAAGAAATTTGGAAGACAGCTTTCTGGCCAACTGATTGGAAGAGATCCATATTTGTGTCCATTCTAAAGAGAGGTGACCCAACTGAATGCAGAAATCATCCGACAATATCATTAATGTTGCATGCATATAAAATTCTGCTAAAGAAAATTTTAAAATGGCTGCAGTAGTACATTTACAGTACTGCCAGAGGTCCAAGCCAGATTCAGATAAGGACTTGGAATGAAGAATATAATTGCCGATATTTGATGGATCTTGGCTAAAAGCAGAGAATACCAGAAAGGTGTTTACCTATGATGTATTGACTGTGCAAAGACTTTCGAGTGTGTGGATCATGACATGCTATGGTCAACATTGCGGAGAATAAGTATTCTGGAATACTTAATTGTTCTCATGAGGAACCTGTACCTTGATCAAGAGGCAGTTGCTCGAACAGAGCAAGGTTACACTGAATGGTTTAAAATTAAGAAAGGTGTTCGTCAGGGTTGTATTCTTTCACCATTTTTATTGAGTTTGTATGCTGAGCAAATAATTTAAAAAACTAGATTATATGAAGATAAACATGGCATCAAGGTTGGAGGAAGCCTCATTAATAACCTGCGATATGCAGATGGTACAACCTTGCTTGCTGAAAGTGAAACAGATTTAAAAATACTTACTGATGAAGCTCAAAGACCACAGCCTTCTGTATGGGCTGTGCCTCAGTGTAAAGAAAATAAAAGTCTTCACCCCTGGACCAATAAATAACATCAAGATAAATGGAGAAAAGATTGAAGTTGTCAAAGACTTCATTTTGCTCAGGTCAGCCATTCAGCACTCTTGGAAGCAGCAGTCATGAAATCAAAGGACATATTGCATTAGGTGAATCTGCTTTTTAAAGTGTTCCAGAGCAAAGATGTCAGTTTGAGGACTAAGGTGTGCCTGCCTCAAGCCATGTTTTTTTTTTTTTTTTTTAAAGTTCATTATCTTTAGACATCAGGAATTAATAGAGGTAGGGGAGACTGAGGCAGACGCAGAGGTTTTGACTCCTGGAGGCAGGCCCAGTTACAGCAAACGTGGAAACAAGGGTGTGAGCTGGTAGCAGATGTGGCCTTGAACTTGGGGTGGGGGGGGGAGTGAGAATGCTGAGTCTTGGGTGGGGAGCAGCAGGAGGAGCTGCATCCGAGGTCCTGAGGGCCCAGAGGTGGGAAGGGATGCAGGGCCCCGCTCCTGCTCCTCAGTGTCCCTGCACCCCATCCCTGGAAGAGATGGGGGTCCTCAGCCCCTGAACCCTTTCAAGGGCCCCATAGTTCTTGGTTGAGCTTCTGGAAGAAGCTTTTGCCGAACTCATGCTGATCATGATGGCCCAGGCGGGGGCAGCCTTGATGATCCTCGAGTGGAAGCCTACAAAGAGCCCCCTAGTGCCTGATTCGGCCAGGATCCTCCTCAGCAGCAGCCAGGTGGAGTCGACACGTGGGGGTCTCACTCTCATAGCCTCCATTGCTCCCAGCGCAACCTGGCACTGAGTCTTCATCATGTCGAAGTTAGGATGGCCGCCACCGCCCCTGAGATGCCACCAGCCACAAAGCTGATGCCCATGGAACTGATGCCCGTCCTTTGGTCTGGGCCCACTAAGCCAGCTCTTCACCAGCTTGTAGTTGAACCAATAGAGGGCTGAGAAGGAAACATCCCGAAGGGCAGTGAGCCCCCAGCCCAGTCACAGGGAAGGCCAGCCACCCTGAGCCACCGTGACCTGCACAGAGATGCCCAGCTCACGGCTTTGTCTGTACCAGCTCCAGGGGGCTGACCACAGTCAGAGTGCCCACGAGGGCCAGAGGGCCAACCACCATGGGTGCATATAGGTCAGAAGTCAATGCTCGGCCACACAGGAAAGTCGAGTTGGTCATAGGTGATGAAGTAGATGGCAATGGCTGGCACAGTCATCACCAGGGTGGCTGGGAGGCCGCTCCACAGGATCTTGATGCCCTCATGCGCAGTCTTCACAAAGGCATCCATGGTGCCAGTGAAGCGGGTAGGATCCTGAAACCAGGTGGCACAATGGGCACTGTTTGGGCACAGGTAAAAGGGCTCCAGGACCCCATTGCAGTACAGGAGGTACTTCCATTTGGTGTAGGAGACATGCCAGAGTCTAGAAGGAAGCATCGTTTTGCAGGCCACTGAGGGGCACTGGGACTGCAAGCGCACCTTCATCACGCCCAGGGGTGTCATGAAGAGGGAAGTGACCACAGCTCCAGCCCCCGAAGCCACCATTTGCTGCAGAGGGCTAATGCCCCCAGGGTCCTGGGCAGCCATCTGTGGTTCCGATCCTGGCTCTAGGCCGGTGTACAGGGTCCGAGTGCTCTCGCCCCACACTGAGGCCTCCATAGAGAGCGGCCTACAGTTGGAAAATAATAAAGAAGACTTTAGAAGAATCCATGCATTTGAGTTTTGGTGTTGGAGGGAATATTCAAAGTCCCATGGACTGTCTAAAAAACCAATCTGGGTTGGGGGAAGTAGAGCCAGAATGCTCCTTAGAAGCCAGGATGGACAGACTTATCCTTGGATGTATTATTTGGGAGGGACCAGGAATGTCAGAGAAAAAGAGGAAGACCCCCAATGAGATAGATTGGCACAGTGACAGCAACAATGAGTTCAAGTTGTGAGGTTGCTCCAGGACTAGGTTGTGTTTTGTTCTGTTGTGCATAAAGTCACATGAGTTGGTGCTGATTAGATGTCACCTAATAAAAAATAAGCTCATGAAGTTTTCTGCTTCCATTTGCTTGATGAAGTTTTCCTTATTTCTTCTACCCATTAGACCTGAGAAATCTTAGGGACTCACAAGTAATGAAAGTTGTTGCTTTGAATTTTTGTCCCAGGAAATCTTGAGACATTTGCCTTTCATGTGAATTAATGTGCGTCCTTCACAGTGGCAGAAAGTCACTGGTGCTTTCTTCTACCATTACTTAAGTGCTTGTCAGCTCTTCAAAGTTTGCCCTCTTTAAATTATGCTAGGGGAAAAGGGAATCCAGAAATTGGAATTAAACATGAGCCACATACTAACTGAAATCTTGTGACCAAAATCCTGTGGAAATTTGAAGCATGCACCCTTCCTTGTTTGAGCAGTTGTAAAGACGTGCAGGACATGCCCAGGGTGCAGAGCTGAGCATTCCGTACTGGGACATACCATTAAAGAAGACCACCCATAAAAATCCTGTGTTTTAATTTCCTTTTGAGATATTTTATAGGTTGGACTGGTTTACCTAGATCCCTAAACATAGCTTTACAGGACAAACCTACTGGAGCAGAAGATAATGCAAGCTCCTAGGAGAGATCTGAACTAGGGTCCTGAAGAACCATGCATGCTCAACATCCCAGAATAAGTTCTGTCTGCTCCTACCAGAGGCCTTTGTGGTGGAATCCATCTTGAAGAAATGGGGTACACTCACCCAATTAGCATGTTGTTGTTATGTGCTGTTATGTGTGTTCCAACTCATTTGTTGTTGTTAAGTGCTGTCAAGTCAGTTCCAACCCGTAGTGACCCTGTATATGGTTTCTGAGGAGCAGCTGGTGAACTTGAACTGCTGACCTTGTAGTTCAAACTGACTTTGCAGTCCAGCTCATTAACCTGTGGTGCCATACCAGGACTCTGTTCCAATTCATAATAGCCCTCTATTGGGTTTCCAAGGAACGGTTGGTGAGTTTGAGCCACTGGTTTTCAGTTCAAAGGACCTTGTGGTCCACTGCTGATCCTACAGTGACACACCAGCATGGCCCTTCCTAAATGAGCCATTTCCTGGAAATCCCTGCATATCCCTATGAATAAACATGATGTCTTTCCCTATTCAAAACTTTTTAAACCCCAGCAAAGCCTTTTTTGGGGGTTGGGGGCCATGGTTGGGTGGGTGGGGGTGTTAATTGTTCTGCTAAGTTCTCCCTATCTTTGCTTCTAGGCCTCTTGCCTATATTAAACCTTTGCTCATATGGAAGCCTTGCCTCACCTGACTATCCTTAGCCTGTAGAAGGCAAACCCGTCTCTTGTAGGGCAGAGATGTGACTGAAGCTTCCTGTAACGGATTCAAGAGGAACTCTATTGTACTATCTGAAAAATATCTGATAAGAGTGTCTCACACAGCCAGAAGATTTAAAAAAAACAAAGAACAGAAAGCCACGTTTGTCAGTCCTAGCAAATAGTGGCAAAGATTAATCATAAGCCACAGAGGTCATCAGTCTTACAGTGGGGACACTGTTCCTGCTGGCTGCATTTTGGAAAGAGCTTGAAAGACCAGGAGAGCTTGTCACCAGTTTAGCCTCTGCTGATTGTGTATTTTCTTTCTGACAGCACTTTTAGTGGCAAAGTGTTCCGAACGACTTTCCTGATGCTTGCTGTTTGCCTCACCATTCCCCTGCTAGGCGCCATGGTGCTGCTGGAGTCTCCCATAGATCCACAGCCTCTCAGGTGAGCTGTGCCAGAATTGTAGGAAGAGTTGCTTGGAAAATGTAATAAAATGTAATAAAATAATTTCTAGGGAACAGAGAACAATTGAGCCAATTTGGTTTTAATTGGCTTTAACTTATGAGAAAGAGAGTTTTGTGACTTATGATTCTAGTTCTCACATGGAATTAAATGTTATATAAAATTATGTGTGTATGTGGTATTGTCCATATCATTGTTTAAAAGAATAGCACTGTGGAAACCAATAAGAAAACTCAGAAAAATTCAATTAGAAATGTTGTTGTTAAGTGCCGTTGAGTTGTTTTGGACTCACAGCAACCCTGTGTATGGTTTCCAAGGAGTGGCTGGTAATTTTCAGTTGACAACTTTGTGGTTCAACTGAACTTGCAGCCCAGTGTTTATCCTGTAGCACCTTTGGTATTGGCAAAAGCACCCACAAACAAAGGTGAGGTTTAAATTGCTGTTATTAAAAATTATCAACATCATTAATTTTTTTTTTTAAATCCTGTGACTAGTGTTCTATTTTTACAAAGTTACTTTCTCTGATAAAAAGCTAAGTAATGCAGTTGATGTTTAACTTGTATATAGTTAGTATATAATTTGGAAACCCATGAAATGTATTCATATATGTGAGTATAATAGTGTAGACCTAGACTTTCCTTGGCTGTGATGACCTGTGGCATTGATGTAGAATTGGTGTTAAAAGGATTGTGTGGCCTGCTTAAGTAATATCATGTTTCCTCTGGATGCTGCCCAGGGAGGTGAAGCTACCTAAAGTTTATTCTAAATGATTTAAAAAATGTGTAAAGTTGCAAAAACTTCAGGCAAGAAGCATGCCCAACTATAGAGTGAATACAGCATACAACTGAATGATGTGCTGATATTTTAGAAATAAAAATTGGGGTTTTATTTAAATTTAATGTAATTTTTTTTTAAAAATTGGGCTCAAGTGTAACAACATTGTGAGGATGGCACAGAACCAGGCAGTGTTTCATTCTATTGCGCATAGGATTGCTGTGAGTTGGAACTGAATCAATAGCACCAACTACAACAATAATAAAAATGTACATTCAGTACTTAGTATGCTTAAGGTAAGTACCCAGCTGATACAACAAAATAGCACAAAGTGAGTGACTTAAAAGTACAGAAATATATCATCTCACAGTTCTCAAGGACAGAAGTCTAAGTAAGGGTTTTGGCTATGTTGATTCTTTCTGATGGCTCTGAGACAAAAACTGTTCATAGCTTCTTTTGCCAATCCTTGCTGCCTGCACACCACATGACTATTCTTTCTGTGTCTGTTCTCCTCTTTTAAAAGACACCAGTCATCCAGTATGACTTCTTATCTGAAAACATCTTCATAGATCCTAGATCCAAACAAGGACATATTCGCAGATACTGGGGATTAAGACTTAAAATAATCTTTTGGGGGAACAGAGTTTAATCTATAAAACAGGGCTGTGTAAATTGAAGGGTGCCGAGAGGTTTAACTTGTTGTGAGGCATTGTGAGACACTGGATGGTGTAGATACAGGAGTGTAAGTAGACTGGAGAATTGTGGGGTCCTCAATGGTCTCAGATGACAGGTGCCAGCTGAGCTGATCATGGAGTCAGCCTCAAACCTTGCTGCTAGCCAGAGTCATATTTTATATTTATTTTGTACTATGACTATTTCTGATATCTTAGAATAGATTTTTTTTCCCCCCTTAACCTTTGTATGCCTGGAAACTAGTGATATATTGGAATTTTTTTTATACACAAATTGAATTCTTTTACAGCCTCAAAGAACCTCCTTTGTTGGTTGGTGTTCTGCATCCAAATACAAAGTTGCAACAGGCCAAAAGGCTATTTGAAAATCAGCTTATTGGGCCAGAGTCCATAGCACAGATTGGGGGTAAGTACACATTAGCCCTGCCGAGTCTGCTGCTGTGACGGGTAGATTCTCTGTGAGCAGCTCATAGTGGCAACTGCTGTTAAGGTGGAGTCGGGCATGGTGGTGGCTCTGGATATCTTTCTAAGCTCCATTGAGGGGGTATCTGAATATTCTTCTTAGCTCTATCAGGGATGAATGGACCCTAGACATTATTATTCTCCACTTCACAGTGAGGACCTGGACATCTCAGCTCTAGGTGTGCTACTTCTCAAGCTGACCCCTCCCTGGGAGTGTATCACTGACTCTGTCTGAGCACTTGCCTCACAAAGTTGCAGTACCATTTATAGAGTCAGGTGATTTTGAGTTCATCTCTATGAAGGATTTCATTCTTTTGAAAGTGTTGGGCCCATTCAAATGAAAGGAAAAAGGCAGAATGCTGACATTGGTGACTGATTCATTTATTGAAGTTTATCAAAATATTATTGCTTAGCTGTTTACCTTTCTGTAGACTTTATTTTGAAATGAAGATGAACGGTTCACAGTCTTCCCACTGTTTTTGTTTGTAAAGCTTACGGTGGTAAATTCATGTAAGGATACATTCAGGGTAATCATCTGTTTTCACACTTCACACCAAGAACTATAATTGGGTCTGATTCTAATACCTGAGTCTCTGTCAATGGGAAGCAAGGAATTTTCCATCTGTTAAAATAGGAATTAAGTTTATGAATGAAAGAAATAAAGTTTGCAGACCTAAAATGTGAGAATTTATTAGCTTATTTGGACATGCCCCTCATCATTCTGAAATACCATTATCAGTGAAATGATTGTGGACCTAAGTATCCAGTAGTGCCTGACATATGAAGCATTTGAATTATGATGAGCTGAACTTACGATTTTTTTTGTACATCTTATCCTTAGTAATATGTGCTACATACAATATTAAAATATGTCTGTAAGTTTGTATCTAATGTTTCCAATCCCTAAAGATAAATAAGGATTGGATTTGTAAAGATACTAATAATAAATGACAATAGTAATGAAAAGTAAAACAAAAATAAGTTATTCAGCCTATGTCAGAACTGACTTATGATGGAATTGTCAGAATGGAGCTTTAATTTTATTAATAAACAGCATAATTTTTGTTTTCTTGTTGAAAAAGCAATCAAACATTGATATTTAACACTGGAACTTACAGGATAAATTGCAGTCAGTATTTTGTTCTTTGCTTCTTACAGAAAGCACTCTTCCCTTCCCACTTGGCCTGACCTCTCATTGGGCTTCTTCACCAGCTGTCGCCTTATAATCTTTTCCAATATTGAAGGAACTGGTTATCTTCTCCTTGGCATTTCTGGTTAGGCTCTGTGGGGTTTCTTGGATTACCACACTGGATGTGACTCACATAGCCCTGCTGCTGCCTTGGTGAGGCCTTGCCATTTTGTGGGCTGTTGTGATGCTGACATTAGAGAGAGGTACTCGCCTCAGAAAATAACACATGGGGAAAATAATCATGCTTCAATTTTATCCTGAAGGACTCTCTCATTGGGTATGACCAACTTTGGCAGCAGACACTGATATGTGGTTGAAACGAACTCATGTCCTAGTCTCTGAATGGCAGGTTGGGAGCCGTGCTGCTCTCTGGAGAGTGGATGATAACCCTAGTTTTCTGTCATGGACTAAGGCTACTGTACCTTGTTTCATAGTAAAAGGCTGTGATCCACATGCCAACTGCCAGCCCCATGGGTTTGTTGCTACAAGACTTTCAGGGTGTTTCATTTCCAGACAATACTTCTCCTTTATCTTTCAGAACTGTCATTTCCTCTCTGGATACAAAAACATAAACTAGCTACCTTTGTTGTAGAAGAGTAGTGTGGTAATGGTTTTGTAGGCTACTCCCGTAATGCTTTTTATCATTTTCCCCTTTTCAACAGATGCCATGTTTACTGGAACAGCAGATGGCCAGATTGTGAAACTTGAAAATGGTGAGGTAGAGACAATTGCCCGATTTGGCACTGGCCCATGCAGTAAGTTGGTTGCATGTCCCATGACTTCTGTCTCCTTCCATCATGCAGATAGTTGTCAGACAACACCCTGAGACAGACAAGATCCCTGACCATTGGATAGATAGGGCATGACTCAGGGTCTCAGTCTGCATAGGTCCCTGCTCTTCACCTTTTGGTTGCAGCTTCTCACTGGTCAGGGCATTGGTTCCTGCTTGCTACTTCTTGGGGTCCTGCCATACACCATTAGCACAGGTCTATATTCACCCCTTTGGTGATGGAGAGAACATTATTGGGTATTACCGTCAGAATGTTACTATAGAAAAGTAGTTGTTCTGCCATTAGTTGGATGCTTAAATATAATTTGTACATTAATTTCTGAGGAATTTCACAGCATCACTCAAAGGTTACTTAAAAACTAGAGAAGATGAATCTTATTGTTTAAAACCCACAGTATTCTTTTGTATTCTATTACAGCAAACTATATATAGAAAGTGTGCTGTTTTAACCATTTTTAAGTGTACAGTTCAGTGACATTAATTAACTTCACTGTGTTGTGTAACAACCATCCTTACTGTTTTCAAAAGTTTTTATCTTCACAAACTAACTCAACAGTAACCCTTAAGCAATACGTTTTCCTCCTCCCACCCAGTACCTGGTAACCACTAGTAAACTTCTGTCTTCACGGAGTCCTGGTGTGGCTCTGTGGGTTAATGTGTCAGACTGCAAAGCCATTTGAACTGCAAAGTCGGCGCTTCAAGCTTACCAGCTGCTCCTCGGAAACCCTAAACAGGGTCGCTCTGGGTTGGAATCGACTTGATGGCCCTTAATAACAGCAACAACATTCTCCTCATTATTTCATATAAGTGGAATCACACAATGTTTATCCTTTTTTTTAAAACACAAAGATTTTATTGTGAATTGAGTGAAGGTTTACAGGGTGGATCACCATTTACATTCAGAAAATCATTGCAATGATTACAGTCCCATCTGTGTACTATCAGTTAACAGTATTTATCTCTATTCCTTTTTTTTTTTGATGTGCACATACCATAATGAAAATATATATTTGTTTAAATGTCCAGAGGGCACATTTTGCAAGTCAGCCTCCTGCCTGCAAGCACACTGCCTTTCTCAGTCCATGGGCCTGTAGTCCTCTGCAGCTCTATCTCTCTATCCCTTCGCCTCTGCCACCATCTCTGGTGTCACTGCTTTTCTGGTTAGGATTCCACGTTCCACTCATGCTCTTCCCTTTTGATGGTCCTAAGGTCCTCTGTTTCTAAAATGACAGATTAACCCTCCCCCTTTTAGTTACACCTCTCATACATTTACAGTTATGACAGTCACAATTAGTCCTGATAACAATTGAAGTATAAATTCCTATCCCTTTCATCCCTCACCCCCATCTGGACGAAAGGAAAACTCTTCAGTGGGGATTCTATCTTACCCTCCTCATTCTGACACTAAGCACCCTCATGAAAGCTTGTAAGCCATCTACTTTGTGCCTTTATACCCCCCCATTTTTGATAGCCAAAATCTAAGTTGCCTGTCCCTATCAACCCAGTGTACTGAGGAGGCAAGTTTGATCCTTGTTGTTGTTGTTAAGTGCCGTCGAGACGGTTCTGACCCATAGTGACCCTGTACATGGTTTCCAAGGCTATAAATCTTGACGGGAGCAGAAAGCCGTATCTTTCTCCCGCGGAGCGGCTGGTAGTTTCAAACTGCTGACCTTAAGGTTCGCAGCCCGATTTGTAACCACTATGCTACCAGAGTTTGATCCTAGCTATGAAAAATTCTTCCCTTTCGGTTGGAATTTTGGGCAACTACATCCATAAGCAAAGGTCAAGTTCATCAAATTGTAGCAACTTTTTTTTTTTTTTTCTCCCTGTATCAAACTTCTTTATCTTTATCTGATTGAGTTTTGGTCAGCAAGCCATCCAAGCTAGGGCAAATGAGTACTGTATGTAAGTTTGGGTGTTCCTACATGCCTCCTCCCACTTCAGACCAGTTGGCCTCTTCACTCTTAAGCCCAGTGGCTAGGTCAGTGTTCATGGGCTTGGAAGTTCACACATCTCCGTGAACCTCAAACCAGTCAGCCCTTCCTTTTCTCTCTCTCATCTCAAGGTCATTAGGTGTCTGTGGAACATGGTCGAACTCAGCCCATGTCTTCGTTGCTGCATTTCCCCCACTTTCATTCACAAGTTGACCAGCCAGCATACAAGACTGTTCCTGTGTTCATTTTGAGTTTCAGTGTTAGAAAGGAGTTTACGCTGATGGGCTGACTTTTCTAGCTTTGATGGCTCCAAGCAAACAGCTTGCCTGATATTGTCATAGCTAAGCAGTCCACTCCTCACCCCCACTCCATGCCCACCCCCGGTCTTTCTTACCATAAGTATCTTCTGTTCCTCTAGTCGTTCGGGATTGATCTGTGTGTCTTTTCAAGTGGAAATGTCCCACCACCACAGGTTCTGAGTGGGTCTCAGGATTCTACTTATGGCTCTATACTCCACAAAGGCTTAACAAGAAGCCTATTTCCCTGGGCAAATTCTAGTACTCTTTTAGCTAATCCAAGCAGTTATAGGCTGAAGATGGACTTACATGCTTTCTGTAATCGACAGTATTTGCCCTTTTGTATTTGACATATTTCATTCATCATAATGTTGTCAAGATTCATCTATGTTATAGAATGTGTCAAGATTTCATTTTTATGACTGAATACTATACCGTTGTATCATACATACCACATTTTATTCAGCCATTCATTTCGTGATGGCCACCGACTTACTGTTGTTGGTAGGTGACATAGATTCACTTCCCACCCATAGTGACCCTTAGCATAGCAAAACAAAACACTGCTTGGCCCTGCACCATCCTCACAAATGTTGCTATGCTTGTCCCCTTTGCCAATCTGTCTCACTAAGGGTCTTTCTTTTTTTTTCTCTGAACCTCCTTCCATTTATCAGACATTATGTGCATCACCCTCTTAATAACATATCCAAAGTATGAGTAACAGTCTCACCATCCTGCTTTTAAGGAACTTTCTGGCTATACTTCTTCAAAGACAGATTTGTTTGTTTTTCTGGAAGTCCATGGTACGTTCTATATTCATCTCCAAAACCATAACTTAAATGTATTAGTTTTTTTTCTATGGTCTTTCTTATTCATTGTCCAACTTTCACATGTATATGAGGCTGTTAAAAATACCTTAGTTTTTTTATGACTTGAGTCAGGCGCATCTTAGTCCTCAAACTGATCTATATGCTCTTGAACACTTTAAAGAGGTGTTGTTCAATAGATTTGCCTAAATGTGATATGTCATTTGATTTCTTAACTGCTTCTTTCATGAGTGTTGATTGTGGATCCAAGCAGAATTAAATCTTTGACAGCTTACTTCTTTTGTCCATTTATCATGACACTATTTATTGGTCCGGTTGTGAGGATTTTTGTTTTCTTTGCATTGAGGTGCAATCCATACTGAAGGCTGTAGTCTATGATTCTCATCAGTAAGTATTTTAAGTCCGTCACCTCTAGCTAGCAAAGTTGTATCATGTATATAGTACAGGTTGTTAACGAGTCTTCCTCCAATCATGGTGCCACGTTCTTCTTTATGTAATCCAGCTTTTTAGATTATTTACTCAGCCTACAGATTGAATAAATATGGTGGAAGAATATAACTCTCACATTCAGTGTTTCCTTGTTCTGTTCAAACAGCTGCCTCTTGGTTTATGTACAGGTTTCTCATGAGTACAATTAAGAGTTTTGGAATACCCATTCTTCGTAATGTAATCCGTTGCTTGTTATGGTCCTCACAGCTTTGGCATAGTCAATAAAGCACAAGTAAACATCAGACATTCTCTACTTTCAGCTAAGATCCATCTGACTTCTACAATGTTATCTCTCATTCCATATCCTCTTCTAAATCTGGCTTTAATTTCTAGCAATTCCCTATCCGTGTACTGCTGCAGCTGATTTTGAATTATCTTCAGCAAAATGTTTACTTGCACGTGATATTAATGATATTGTTTGATGATTTCCGTATCCCATTGGGTCACCTCTCTTTGGAATGAACACATACACATATAGATCTTTTCCATCTAATTATCCAGTTCTTTAAATTTCTTAGCATACATGAGTGAGTGCCTCTATTGCTTCATCAATATGTAGAAAGGTTTATATTTGTATTCTGTCATTTCCTGGAACCTTGTTTCCACCAATGCCTTCTGTGCTGCTTGGTCTTCTTACTTCAGCATCATTAATTTTTGATCATATGCTTCTCATGAAATGGTTGAACATCAACCATTTCTTTTTGATACAGTGACTCTGTGTATACCTTCTATCTTTTTTGTTGCTTTCTGCATCATTAAATATTTTGTCCTTAGAATTCTTCATAAATTGTAAGTCAAGGCTTGATTTTTTTCTTCATTTCTGTTAGCTTGAGAAATGCTGAGCATGTTCTTCTCTTTTGGTTTTCTAACTCAAAGTCTTTGCACATTTTATTAAAATATTTGATTTTGTCTTCTGGAGTTGCCCTTTGAACATTTCTGTGCAGTTCTTTTACTTCATTTCTTCCATTTGCTTCAGCGTCTCTACACTGGAGAGCAAATTTCAGGGTCTCTCCTGATATCCATTTTTTTTTTTTTCCTTTCCTTTCCTGTCCTTTTTTTTTGAAGGGCATGATTTAATGGGCTGAAATGTAACAGTCTTCATTCTGGAAAAAGGGCCAGAGTGGGGGCACTCTGGAAGCTGGTGCCCCACGAGACTGTGGGGGGAGAGGCATGACAAGGGCCACAGGTGGGGGCACAGCCTCCATGGTGGCATGTTTCCTACACCCCTCACATGTTGGTGCTCATCCGGGACTGGCTGTTGCCTGGTGTGAGCTCCCCCTGGTTCCCTTCTCGAGGAGGAGACTTGACGTTGGTCTGGTTGCACAGCACAGCCGCAGGCAGGATCATGGCTTTGGCGATCATGGCTTTGGCGTGGCACTGGAACGCCTTGTCCATCAGCAGGGACTTCTCCAAAGTTGT